TACTTGTTAATTTATAAGTTTTTCTATAAAAGTAAGCTTTGCGTTTGTGGAAGGCTTGCTTAAAATTTGCTTCATAGGCCTCGTAAGTTAAGATTTCCTCCTTCAAAGCATCTGTAAAAGAGTATATATTTATAACAAAAGAATTTACAGAACAATTTGGTGTCATTACCAAAAAAAGAACGTATTAAAAAGCTTATAGCTATTAATTGCCACCTTATTTTTTGCGCCATCCCAGTTGATTTTTAAAATCCCAAAAATCTCGTCGATAAATTTAAAAATTGGCCTTCTTCCGAACTTGCTTCTTAGATAAGTAATCTGCAATGATATTAATAATTTATAAAAAAATTATAAACTTTTTACTTAAAATTAAAGTCTCAGCAGCTTCCAGGTCTTCAACGGAATCCAAGGGGAAAACTCCTAAGTCCTGTTTTTTTGGTTTGAGCACTTTTAAAACCTCTTCCAAAAGAACGCTTTGCTTTGAGGCCAGTTGCAAAAGGTACCGATTTTGTTCTTCCAGTCGTTTTAAGGCTTCAGTCACCGGGTCAGTGTCGGTACGAGGTCCACTTACTATATTGCTTGTTCCTGTAATTAAGTATATTAAACAAAAGATAAAAAGACGTAACAAACATCATCGCTTAAATGGAAAAAGTCGTGAGTAATAATATTTTTGCATAAAACGATGTGGGGCGTTGCAATCCGATCAAATCCATAATATCAATCAAAAATTGAACTTTGAATTTTTTATTGCTTACGACGATTTTGCAATTCGCGTGACGATATGAGGTTTTCTTTTAAATCGGTAAAATATATTTATATATCTACATATATATACCCTTGGGGTCAGCTGATTAAGTCAAGAGACATTTTGACTAATTTTGGTTATTTTTCTGTATACCCAAAAATTTCTGAAAATTGTAAATAAAAAGTTTAAAATTTTTGGGTGCAAATGTAAATTTTTTTGCATAGCGATTGAAGAAAATTCAAACTTTAAAATCGAAAATGTTACTCATACGGAATGTTGGAGTATGTATGAGTACGGCCGTGTACGATATGGCGTATGAGTAACATTATTTTCTCTTGGTAGTAAAAGTCAATCAATCAATTTAATTCAACGTGGCGTATGATAAACTTTTTTGAAAATTATGCTGAGTATTTACAAATTCAGCATTAAACACATGTAAATACATATGTATGCATAAGTACCAATTATTTAATATACCGCTTCCGTTTGTAAAAATGGATCCTATTTGCCCGGACAACCAAGAGGTGCTAGCGCAATCTAAAAGCAGATATATTAGTCAAATAAATTCGTATACAAAAATAATATGCTGTTTATATACAAACCAATAAAACTGAATTGGAATTCGCGGTTATTTTCCATTGCTTTAATTTCTTCCCGAGTTGATACGTTGAATTTTTAGTTATTTTTAACCGACTTCCTACAAAGGAGGAGGTTATAAGTTCGTCGCATAACTTTGCACCACGTCAACCGATTTCAATAATTCTTTTTGCAACGGTTTGCAAAGGTAGTGTCTCCCATACTAATTTGGTTTAGATCCGATGATTGGATCATGAAATATATAGATATATATATATATTTTTTTTAAGTCGGTTTTTTTTTGCTAAAAATTACCTGTTCTCTTATTATTTTTTATTGATAGCTTATTCGGTGAAATCAAAGTTTTCTTAAAGCAAAAGTTTTCAATGGCAATTTTGAAGTATTGGAACAAAGTGGATAAATGTTTCTTCAGCGAGGGGAAACAACTTGCAGTAAATGTTTTTTACTTCAATTTTTGTAATAATTTCGCTTAAAGTGCTCGCTTTGACTATACCCAATGCGCTCTTTGAATTGACGGGATATTGAAAGGAACTTGTTGTGTCGCTAAATAATTTACCAACTACAATCGGCTGTTCATCTTGCTTTGCAAATCCAGTTATTTTCAAAACATCCGATTTTTGCGTTAAACAATAACAATCCGGCGGTTTATTGCTTTGGATAAAATCACCACACTGGTAGTTAGTGTAAATATTAGAATTATTCATACTGCCCATTGGACGAAATATTTTTTCGCTTGGGGGAATAAAACTCCTTTCAATTACGCGGTTGTTTAGTTGCTGAGCTACTTTACACGATTTTCGACAATCCTTTTTTAAAGTTTGTAGGTAATTCTCAAATTTATATGACGAAAAGCTGTCCACATTGCCAAAGTTTTGTACGCATTGAGATATGTGTAAGAGATTGTGAACGTTGTAACTTATTCTATCAGCACCAAAAAGTTTTGCAAAGTCTTCAATGTACGCTTCTAAAAGCTGTTGAACGCAATTCAGGTTACTTTGACACACTTTTGGGCAAGATATGAAGCGATATGCCACCATTAATAGCAAGAAATGCTGGTAAAGTTCTTGATCAATCGCATCTTTAAAAATAGCGAAACCCGTGTATAACACCACTTGGCGAAACTCCGTGGCTTTTTAATTTTAACAGGCTGATAAATTAATGGCGCATTTACATGGTATGAAGCCATATGAACTGTTGATACGCTAAAATAGAGGGACTACATGTTCTAATGAGGAATTCAATGATAT